ACTAGTTTCCTTTGTAACCGTACGATGACCCTCGATTGTCCCTCAAAACATCCGACAATAGGGCCACCTACTCACTAATAGTAGGATAACACTGTCTAAAAGAAAAGAGGAAAAGAATAAACCTTTTCGAACAGGTAGATAGTTCTTAGATGCTTGATCAAATAAAACAATCTTCCACACATACACTTTTTTTCTAAAAAATATTTTTAAAGACACTTTGTATACGTTCTCCAAGACACGAGAAACATTACAAAATTCGCCGCACTAAGGCGTCTTTTCAAAATACTTTTTCAAACGCACAAACACAAGGCATTTTTAAATGATCTAGCAATTAAGATCCTGTAGATAACTACGGATGGAAAGGGTGCTAACACTTTCCCTTTCCGTAATCTACCCCCTTACTCATAAATAATCTTGAAAGGTCTTTTTCTGTTCTTTTCACCCTTTCCTTTGTTGGATAAAAGAAAATTTGATGGCGACTCTTGCTTACCGTAGCATTTGCGAATACAAATGTAAAACCAGTATAAAAGTCGGTTCTCCCACCGTATTACAACATGTAAGTTTTGAAATCGAAGTTTGAATAGAAATGGATGATTAGAGATGGAGATTCGAAGAAGAGAAGTGGTTAGTAATAATTTTAACAAACATAGGAGTCAGTTTAACACAAATTTTGCCGAGTATGTTTTCATAGTTAACTTTGCTTCAATTAGGACTTTTGAAGGTTGTAACGTGGCCATGGTTCGTGGTTTAAGAAACAAAGGAGATAAGGCTCAAAATTTATTTATCCCATCTCATTCTCCTTGATGTTCTCCAATCCTAATTTCAATTAATGTAACAAATGCGTTCAATCTCCAAGAGAAATTTTGTAGTCACGCGAATGATGAGTAACGTAGATAAAGACCCCAACACTGATAAAAAGCATTGATAAGATCAAAGCATTGATAAGATCCAAGCGTTGATGATAATTCTTGATGATTCTTGAGGTTGCAGTTACAAGATTGTTCTCCAATCTATTTGTTTTAATCCCTTATTTTTACATGGGCTGATTCTTTTGAATTCGGTCCATCGGGATACCCTATCTTTTGCCTAATTAAATATTTTCTTTGACTTAGCAGGCTTTCTCCTTTTGAATTTTTTTTTGACTTTGAACATTTGTGACTTCCATGCTTATTGTTGTAAGCTTCATTTTAATTGTTTCCTCGATCTTGAATGATGCACTAAGGAAGAAGATGTTGTGAACTTTATCTTTATTGATTGCTTCTTTAATCTTTGTTGATGTGCACGAGGAAGATGATGTGCTTGAACTTTTGCTTAGATTGTTTCCTTAATGATGTATATAGGAAGGAGATATGCTTGAACCTTTGCTTAGATCATTTTGATTCTCCTGGGATTTGAATGCAACATTGAATTAATTGAAATCCACCCTGCGCCTAGTTAAGATTAAGGTTTTTTTTTATAGAAAATAGAAATAACTCCAACTTCTGGCTCGAGGGGGTTAACTATGGATTAACTCCTTATTTCTCCACTTTTTAGGAATTGAAATAATGCCTTACATCGTCAGTCGATCTTACATTGAAAGCATACATCAACACAATTCAGTTAATTTAGTTTACATCACTCTCTCTCGAAGATTGTTAAAGTTATGTAATGGAAGATGGAAATCCGTTGATTATTTATGGAAATTGATAAAAGAGTGAATATGAATGGATTGATTTCAAAACATGCATGCTCATTTTATTAGTATTACTAATCAAAAGATACAAATTTACACCAAATACAACTTAACAACTTGGAAATTAAAAATTGAAATTTATAAAGTCTAATGATTCTAGAGATGAGCTTTTTTTGTTGATCCACTAACTTTAGGAGATGCTTCGTAGTTCTTTGACTTGTCAAAGCATTAGGGTGACCCTTGAATTTTCTTAGGCATACCTATTTCGTTGATATGGTAGTTGCTATTGATGTAGAGGAATCACCAATGGTAGTGGTATTTGAGGCGCTGTGTAGGCCTGTAGTTGTAGGACTAAGCTCCATTGAGTCTCCAATAGATAATCTCCTTCTTCCACAGTTTCAAACTTTTTAAAGTTCGTTTGTGAGTACCAAGAAATCAACTAATATATGGATGATAGTTGGATAAGGGAGAAGGTGGAAATGCATGAAATGAAAATGTATGAATGTATGTAAATGCATAGCTATGCCAAAATATTTTTGTTTTTAAGGGTATGCTAAAAATTTCATGGATATGCGATGCAGACATAGTATGAAGGTAAACATAAGGGTACCCTATACAGGTTTAATGATAGACATGGAAATCAGGATACCCTATACTAGCTCAGGGATTGAGAAAGACATGAACTCCTTAAGGATTATGGACCTACACTGACTCAGAGATTGAGACATACAAGAACTCCTTGAGGATTATGGGCAATGAAAAACAAAGAGGAATCCTTATAAGCTAGGGATTGTAACTGAGGGACGGGAATTCCTACAGACTAGGAATTGTGATAGACCAACAGACGGTTTATATGAAGGTTGTACTTGAGGGAATATAATGGAAGAGAGCACACAGTGTCCAGTCAACAGTCACCAAATCCCATGGCCTGATATAGGCCACGTGGTGTGCATTAGCAAGGACGTATTTCGTGAGAAAGTTTCATATAGAGGTCAAGATCCTAAGGTTCTAATGACGGTGGAAGGCAAAAGGGGATCCTTGCAGGCTAGGGATCGCGACGCACAAAAAGGAACCCCTACAGGCTAGGGATTGTAACATACTCTATGGAAGTCCTTACGGGCCTATGGGTTATAACATACATAATGGAATCCATATGGACCTAAGATTTGTAATTAACAAACATAAACCGTCGTGGGCTTATGGTGGTGAATACCCTATACGGGTTTAGGATATGTGAATACCCTATACTGGTTATGGGATAGATATAGAGATGAGGATATCCTTACAGGTTAAGAGGATAGGATGTTGATAGAATAACCTATAGGAGAGCTCCTATAGAGGTTATAAGTTTTTCTGCCCTTTCTCACAAGGTGGTTTCCTTGAGGGTATCATGGATTACACTAGAGAGAAAGGCACAAAGGCCTCCCTTAAGTGGAGCCTCATTGTAGACCAAAACTTTCATCTCTAAGGTCGTACAAGGTCTCACCATGAGATTTTGGTTTAAGGGTTGTACAAAGAATCATAGGTTTCATTCCAAAGTCCTACCCCCAATATGATATCTCTTTATACATATTCCTTTCATGGAATTCCACCGACTCTAGGCGAAGTCATCGCATAAACTCATAGGGCTGATGTATCCCATTAGCTAATAGACGAACCTTTTTAAGAATTTTTGAAAATATTTTTTTTTTGAAATAATAAAAGCCCATCACAGATGAACAAATATAATGAATAATATAATAAGAAAAATAAATAATTAAATAAGCAAGAATAAAAACCCAAAAACAAGAAAAACCCTAAAACCAAGAGAAAAAGCTTCTAAACCCTAGGGTTGAGTCCCCAACAGAGTTTCCAGCTGTTGTAACCGATTTTAAAATTGAGAGTCGTCACTCTTAATTTTTATCCTAAGGAAGGGAATATAAAGGTTAACCCTAATTTGGACAGAGATTCTAAGTTGGTGGACTCATTCTTAGACGAAGGAAAGGTGTTAGGCACCCCTCGTCTACCTTGTTTACAAGGATACTAGGATTTAGAGTTATGGCTTAGGAAATTGGGTTTTAATTTTTATTAGGGGAACTCGCCATGATTTTTAGTCGTATGACTACATATCCTCTTATGAGGAATCAGAGTCTCAATTCGTAGTTCGCAGTTTAGTTGGTTTTTTTATAGGATTACGTAGAATTGCTTTCGAATTATCTTTGAACCTTGTTTGTGTTGTAAGTTGAGTGATCGTAAACGCAGTTCGCAGTTAATTTTGAAAGTAATTCTATCTGATCCTTTTTCAAAAATATCTTGGATTTTTTATTATGTTAGTAAAAATTGATTTAATGTTGGTTAGCTGTTTTGATATTTTGATTTAATTAAAGAGTATGGTAGGTAGTAAAGCGGGGGAGTCTGATAAAGTCTCCTCATAACGTGGCAAGATATTGGTTACATGTTGCTGGTCGTGATGGATGCGAAGGAAGTCTGTCAAAGTCTTCCTTATCACGTGGTCAAAAATTAGTCATGTGTTGCTCGGAGATGGAGTATTCGGTGAGTTACGTGGGTTTTAATATCTTTATAAAATATTGAATTAATTTGATTTGAAAAGAAACATGATTAACATACACGAATTTATTTAAATTTAATCGAGAGAGTTTAATAATTGTATGAATAATTGCTTTTAGTATTTATAATAATTAAAGAACTACACTAATTAATCTAAATTAATTAAAATAATTAAAACTAATTTAATTAACCAAAATTAATTAACTTAACAATAAAATTAGAATACTTGGACTATAGGTGTATATTGAACTGGAGTAAGAGGTTAGTAAAAGTGTAGACTAAAAAATTGATTAAGGGCCCAAAAGCCCAGATCAAACTAAACCCTAATACCAATCATTTAAATTAAACAATAAAGCAAAAGATGAAACGTATGAGAATACCTCACAACTTATAACAATTTGTTTCTTGACCTTTAAGCTTGCAGCAACCACCAATAACCATATGACACGCAGATTATTGGAATTTAAAAAAACTATTACCAAGCACCAGTAGGACAATTCACTTTCCTTTCTCCTCTTTCAGAACAGACAAGAGTTCCTCTTCTTCTTTACATTCGTGCCTCTCTCTTTCTTTCTCTGGTATGGGTGACGACGGGAGTTCCGTCGGATTCTTCGGTGGTGGTTGACGGTTACAGATCCGGCGACGGTATGCAGGGCGAGGGAAGGGTAATGTAATAGTATGTGCGGGTTGTCGCGACTTGCTTCTCATCCATTGTTTTTGTTAATTTACTTCCTCAGTTAAATTTTGTTCTTTCAACCTGCAGGTAAAACATGGAAAATCATTAGTAGTTTGATTTTGCGGCTGTGAGGAGTGCTCGAACTTGTCGGCTGATGCGTGGGCGGGAAACATCGTTGGTTCTGGTGCATGTGTTAATTGTAGTGGCAGTGATATTCTTGTAGAGTTTGTTGTTTTGATACAGTGACTCGCGAATTGGGGTTGGGCAGCCGGCGATTTGCAGATCGGTGGCTCGGCGTGTTCGTTGGAGGTGAGATTCGTCGAAGCTTTGGAGTCGCGGTTCTGGTGCTTTCACGATTGCTGGATTCTGTTTGCATTCCCCTCGGCCTGTTTCAGATTCACTTCTGGCTTTGGGTTTAAATCGTGGCGGCGTGCGAATCGATCGAAAGTGGGGGATGGTCGGCGATTATGAGGAGTTTCGGTACCGGCTTCAGCTTCTTCTTCTAATTTTCTGCATAAAACAAACAAAACTTGTACACTATCATGAGTTTAGTTATGTAGATTTTGTTGGATATATCTATAGATCCATGGAAGGTTTGATGTTGGGATTTGAAAACGGTTTGGATATGGATATGGAAAATAGGCCCGGGCATAATGTAAATTGTTATGGTTCTGTGATGAAAACATGTGATGCATGAGATTTGTTTTGAAAGGAATGATGTAAAATGTGAAAAGAGATTCCCTGTGCAAATTGTTTAATATAAAAGTGTTAGAAAGTCAGTCTGTTCTTTGTAAATATTCAAAGTGCAGTAACTTTGGCTTTGTCTTTTGTAGGTACAAGGTGTACCGTGTCTCAAGTGTGTGTAGGTTTGTATAAGGTGAACCGTTACTGTCACTTGAAATAAATAATAATTTTCAATAAGATAAAGAGAGTTTTAGAAATTACGTGTGTATAATACTAGATGAGCAATCAATTGTTGTGAAGAAGAATAATTATTTTTTTTAAAAGTGAACCATCAGATATTAATCATTTGGTTAAGATAGCAACCGAATTGAAATTAAAAGGGTTTCATATAAAATCATCGGGGCAAATAATAAAACAATAACACCAAAAAATTTTGAAGAGAAAAATTGAAAAAAAACTTTGAAAAAAAATTTGTAAACAAGTAATGTGTAAGTATGATTGTTGATTTATTGATGAAATTGTTAATGAATTGTGGATGAAAACACTAGGACAACAAGAGTCCTATTTATAGAGTTAGAATTAGGTTAAAGGACTTAGAAAGTAAGTCAGCACAAAAACTAAGAGAAGTCCAAAATCTAATTTCCAAAAAGGAAAGAAAATTAGTAACAAAAAATTAAAATAAAAAATGTTAAAATGCATCACAAGAGGTTCAAACCTGCAAACTCATGCTTGAAAGTTTCATTCTTTATCAATTGTGTTGTGTTACTAATTTGTAAATAAACCCAATTGAAAGTATATGAAAGTGTACATATATTTTCTATTTTAAAAATACAAATAATTTGAAATAAATTATTATATTTTTAAATAGGTTTGGAAGCGAATATTTATAAAAATCAAAGAATATTATAAAATCAATGTGATCTTACCGGATCAGACCTGGACCGTCACGACTGGCTCCGAGCTGAAGTTGAACGAGATGGGGGGGGGGGGGGGGGGGGGGTACCTGCAAGGCACTCCGATGCTAAAGTAAGTGGCAGTACGAGCAGGCAAGAAAGTGTGTGTATGGTAGAAGAATGAATACCTGACCCTCTGGGAACAGAGGGTATTTATATCCCCCAGCGCTGGGCCAAGGTCCCTTCATTGGGCCGGACAGGTTTGGCCCAATGAAGGGTCTGCCAGGTTCTACGTGTGTAGTGGGGACCCGCACGTGGTCTCCTTCCTGGGTGTTCTGTGAGAAGTACGGACGGACGAGGACGCGGTCTTTTCGGAATCCAGGTGATGGTGTAATGGTCATAGTCTTCCCTACGAGGGGTGCTCGAGCTGAGGTCGAGCTGGACTGCATGAAGTCGAGGATGTCGCGCTCGCGAACAGTGGCGGACATGGCTGTAGCTTCTTGGTCGGCGCGACCCCCTGCACAACCGTTTGGATTGGGCCTTCATCCTTGCTCTTGGGCCAGCCCGGCCCAGTCCAGAACAGGAGCCCCCCAAGTCGTGGTTCCTGGAGTAAGAGTCATGACTTGATCTTAGTTCGCCTCCGTCACGAGGTCTAGTGCTCGGACAAGAGATTTAGTTTCCCGTGGTTACTCAAGGAGTTTCCCCTGTGTCGCGCTCGTGAGATAATTCCTTTCGAGGAGTGCTCGGGGGACTCTCGACAGGCTGTGTCCGTTGAGCACACGAGGCATCCTTTGGGAACTGTGCCGCCACCCTATTGAAGATAGGGTCATCATTGCCTAGGGGAGCTATGCGTCGAGGAGGGAAGTTCGTGGTTCCCCGGGGTGACGTTTTATATTCCACATCATCACTATAAATAGGGTCCTTGGGCCCCAGAATATGTTTTTCCTCTTCGCGCTTCTCCTCCTTCCTCTGCCTCTGCTGCTGCTGCTTTTTCCAGATTTTCATAGGACCGCCGCGCTCTTCGCCGCTGATTCTCTTTTCCGCCGCCGTATCTCTTTCCTGATTTCAAGTAAGCGTCTTGTCCCTTTTGTTTTTCCTCTGTGGTATATGATATTTTCCATTGTTTTATACGTTAGAGACTGTGCGTCTGGGATTAGCCCCAGTAGATTCGTATTTTCGCTCGGCAAATCCACGTTTATGCCCGGAAAACACATGTTTGTGCCCGGTAAACGCATGTTTGTGCCTGGTAAACGCGCAATTTAGGTATTTGACTCGCAATGCTACCCGAGATCTTCATGATTCAGGGCGCCTAATTCGTGATAGTGCCCGGTAAATTCATAGTTCTAGTTTTAGGATTTATGATATCGCTCGCCATGTCCATAGCCTAGGTCGACATATTCGTGACTGGCCGGGATGTTGGCCCATTTAGGCAATCTGTAGGAAGACTTGTCGCAGTATCTTGGCGTCGGGGAGGTGACTCCACTCTTTTGTTCGAAACTTCAAATTTTTAATCGTGTGTAGAGTGTGACTCGGTTTGTCGTGCCCTTCTTCCCGTCAGTTATGGCGAGCATGTGGATTTGCTCCCCAATTGATCGACTTCCTGTGCTTTGCAGGTAACAATGGCGGATGAACCGTGTTCCTCGGGGCGCAATGAGGTGGAAGATCAAAGCGCCGAGGAGAATGTGAATATGGTCGATACCATCGACGATCCTCTGCTGGAGTGGGTGGGCGCCGAGCCCAGAGGGATTGCTTCCGCTTACAGTCGGCGCAGTCGGAGTGCGTATACTATCGTCGAGTAGGGCGGTAGTCAGCCTGACTTTCAGAAAAACTTCGTCGTTACCAGACCGACTCTTACCGCGCGGATCTGCTCGGAGTTCCCCGAGTACAGGTTTCCCATGTATGAGATCGCTTTCAAGGACCTTGGACTAAAGCTCCCCTTTAGTGATTTTCAGGTCGGGGTCTTTAGTCATCTGGAGCTGGCCCCGTCGCAGCTTCACCCCAACTCGATTGCTTTCCTCCGGGCGTTCGAACTAACGTGTCGCTTTTTAAAGATTGGGGCGACCATACCTCTCTTCTTCAGAGTCTTCCATTTACAGCGCCAGTCTCGGGGAGGTAGGCACAGTTTGGTTTCCCTGAAATAGTCGAAGAGACTGTTCAGGATGTATATGGATTCTGTCCGGGGGTTCAAGGACAAATGGTACATCGTGCGGCCGGTTACCAAGACTGGTCTAGAGTCTGTATACGAGGAAGAAACGGTAGTGACCGACGATCACGGGGAGGCTCTCCTAGACGAAGAGGGACGCCTGGTGTTGGGGCGTGTGGCCAAGTTTCCTTTGCATTGGACCTCGCGTCACTACGAGCACGGCACCGGGCACTACCATACGCCCATGGGTGGGATGAGCACTGAAGATGAGGAGGCCTATGGTACCCTCTGCAGATATGTCGATAGTTTCTTCCCTGCCCGGTGGGCCACGAGGGAGGGAAAGGATATTCTCGAGGAAGATGGTTATCCGACCTTTGAGGCCCGGCCTATCGACACGAAGGCGCTCGTGGAGTGCCAGTCCTTCGGGCAGGCCGCGAACCTGCTAGGTCATTATTTTTTTGCCTTGTTTGAATTTCTTCGCTTGTTATTTGCTCGTCACTAACCCGGGATTCTTTTATGCAGGTCTCATGGGTGGACGAAAGGAGAGGCTCCTGAAGCTGACACAGGATAAGAAAGTCAACAAGAGAGTGGTGCGAGCTCCTCAGGTGACGAGGATGGGCCCGCCAACTAGCCCGGGCGATGCTTCTGGAGGGTCCCCGGACGCTCAGGATGTTAAGCCGCATACCGACCTGATACCGAGGAAGAGGAACCGGGTGGAGAGCCAACCGGAGGTCGGCGAGGAATCTGGTGCGGTGAGGTCCTTCGGGTTGCCCCCCTGTTTTAAAGAGGAGGGTTTCTTCGAGGGGTTTCCCTTGTCCGTAAGTGCTGAAGAAGTTGATACCATTAGGCGACTGAGCAAGGAAAATCAGAGAAAGCATCTGGCCGCCAACATGGTCGGGATGGTCAAAATGACCGAGATGGCCGTTGTCCTGGCCGAGGAGGGGGAAGATTTTGATCGCATCAAGGAGATGGAACAGGAGAAAGCTTCCCTTACTGCAAGCTCACGAAAGTTGAAGGCTGTCCTGGAGCGCTCCGAGGAGATGTTCCGCGAGCAAGCCGAGCTGCTGGCCGCGGAGAAAGAGAACTCGGGGAAGATTGCCGAGGAGAGGGAGTACTTCCGTGAGGACAGGGAACGCTTGGAAGCTGACAACGAGCGCCTCGCCAAAGAGGTCGAGGAACTAAAGGCCGCCATGCCCCTGCCGAGGATGAGTCGGAGGAGACATCTCCTTTGCAGAGTCAGTCAGAACTGGTTGCTTGTATTCAACTCCTCGAGGCGGATTGTGTCGGTGCTTTGGCGGATGGCTTTGAAGTCGCGGTTAGCCAGCTCGCTCTGTTGAATCCCGATCTGAATACTGAAGGAGTGGGCTACATGTCTCAGATCATCAACGGACAGATTGTGCCCCCGCCCGAGTCTCCTGTTGTCGGCGGTGATAGCCCCGGGGAAGTCTAACTGTGAGATCTTAGTCGGGCCTGTGCGCCTTTTCTTTTGTTTGATGGTTGTTTTTGGGGCCTGCGTGCCCGTGCATGTTTTACTTTTTTGGGCCTGCGTGCCCGCTCTTGTACTTTCCGAACATCGCCGGCCTTCTTGGTCGGTTTATTTCTATTTGTTTTGTTGCCCACGAGCTTTTTGAATGAATGTTTGTTTCGACTTTGATTGTTTGCCCGTGTTTATGTTTTGATATTTTGCGATAGAACTTTCCTAAGTTATGGCCCCGAGTCTTGCCCGTGTGTGGTTGTGACTTTGTTGGCAAATTTGCCTAAGTCTTTTGTCTGGGACATGCTTGTACTCGGCTTTCTATTCGGTGGTGAAATTCGCCTAAGTAACGACCTCGAGGAGAGATTCTTTTTCGACCCTTTGGATGGTTCAACGTTCTTCGAGATTTGTCGGGCGTGCGGAGCGAAGCTGCTTGTTCGGGCGTATGGCCCGGATCGGGGTTGTTCACCCGTGGCGTGAACTGCCCATCGCGAGCTGGGTGT